CTGAGGTCAGGAGTTCGAGACCAGCCTGGCCAGCATGGTGAAATCCCGTCTCTACTGAAAATACAAAATTAGGCAGTCTTGGTGGTGCATGGCTTTAATCCTAGATACTTGGGAGGCTGAGGCAGGAGAATCGCTTGAACCCAGGAGGCGGAGGTTGCAGTGAGTCAAGATCGTGCCATTGCACTCCAGCCTGGGCAACAACAGTGAAATTCCGTCTCAAAAAGAAAAAACAAAAGTTTCATGAAAAATTTATTTTCTTCCAAATGAAGGTTTTTTGCTTTTGGACGCCTCCTCCTTTGTTAAGGTCCTGAAAGTGAGGTCATGGGTTCTGATTTAATGAAGGACTGGCCACACCAGGCAGCAATTGCTGGGCTCTGCGTGAGTTCGTGAATGCTGAAGATGGCCCGGTTGGTCGCAGCTTTCAGAAAGAAGGGATCCTTTCCGGATGCAATCGGCAGTGAACTTCACACCTATCCTTGGTATTGGTAAGATTCTGAAACGCCCGTCTCGGGATCACGAGGTCAGGAGATCAAGACCATCCTGGCTAACACGGTGAAACCCTGTCTCTACTAAAAATACAAAAAACTAGCCGGGCGAGGTGGCAGGCGCCTATAGTCCCAGCTACTCGGGAGGCTGAGGCAGGAGAATGGCGTAAACCCAGGAGGCGGAGCTTGCAGTAAGCTGAGACCTGGCCACTGCACTCCAGCCTGGGTGACAGAGCGAGACTCCGCCTCAAAAAAAAAAAAAAAAAATTTATGGCATATTTTCAGGCCAGGTGCGGTGGTTCATGCCTGTAATCCCAGCACTTTGGGAGGCTGAGACGGGTGGATCACGAGGTCAGGAGTTCGAGACCAGCCTGTCCAACATGGTGAAACCCCGTCTCTACTAAAAATATAAAAATTAGCTGGGCATGTTAGCGCATGCCTGTAGTTTCAGCTACTTGGGAGGCTGAGGCAGGAAAATCGCTTGAACCCAGGAGGCAGAGGTTGCAGAGAGCCGAAATTATGCCACTGCACTTCAGCCTGGGCAACAGAGTGAGACTCCTTCTCAAAACAAAAAAAATTATGGCATATTTTCAAATAACTAGAAAATCAGATTTTTAATGTTCCCAACACAAAGAAATGATAAATGTTTGAGGTAATGGTTATGCTAATTACCCTGATCTGATCATTACACATTGTATCCATGTATCCAAATAAATATGTACAATTATTGTGTCAGTTAAAAATAATAATGAAAGCAAAAAATAAAAATTAATTAACACAAAATGGAATAATCTCATGCACTGTGGGGTAGCACACATGAATTTGATCATATTTACAATTTGGAATCTATGCCAAATACCATCTCAGTTATGAGGGTTATTCAAAAAGACAAATGGGATAGATACTCCCCAGCTGTCATGCTGCCTTAGTGCACAGGAAACCCTGTGAGCAGCTGACCTTCCAAGCTGATCTCAGGCCTGTGGTATTCTTGGTGGTCCTGTCCCAGTATCTTAGAGGTGAAAAGTGCTGGGTGTAGCATGTGTGACAAAACAGCTCTCTCAGTTAGGGCCTTTGCTTATTGAGGAGCTGTAAATACAGAGGACCTGTGGGAATACTTTAGGAATTAACCATGTGCTCACATTGCAGATCTACTGCAGCTAACTAGCTGAGTGACCTTGAGCAAGGTACTTAACCTCTCTGGGCCTCTCATGTCCTTATATGTAAAATAAAGACATTGGGCCATTGGGCTAGATAATCTCTAAAACCTCTTCCAGCACAATAAATCTGTGATACATTCTTTATACAAATTAAAATATAATTTTAAAAGTTCCCCCAAGTTTTTTAGAAATAAATAGGCCGGGCACAGTGGCTCACACCTATAATCCCAGCACTTTGGGAGGCCGAGAAGGGCAGATCACCAGGTCAAGAGATCGAGACCATCCTGGCTAACACAGTGAAACCCCGTCTCTACTAAAAAATACAAAAAAAAAAATAGCTGCGCATGGTGGCACGCGCCTGTAGTCCCAGCTGCTCAGGAGGCTGAGGTAGGAGAATGACTTGAACCCAGGAGGTGGAGGTTGCTGTGAACTGAGATCGCACCACTGCACTCCAGCCTGGGCGACAGAGCGAGACTCCATCTCAAAAAAATAAAATAAAATAAAATAAATAAATAACTATGGCCAGGAGCAGTGGCTCATGCCTGTAATCCTAGCACTCTGGGAAGCTGAGGCAAGTGGATCACCTGAGGTCAGAAGTTCGAGATCAGCCTGACCAACATGGAGAAACCCTGTCTCTACTAAAGATACAAAATTAGTCGGGCGTGGTGGCGCGTGCCTGTAATCCTATCTACTTGGGAGGCTGAGGCAGGAGAATCGCTTGAACCCAAGAAGCGGAGGTTACATTGAGTCAAGATCGCGCCATGGCACTCCAGCCTGGGCAACAAGAGCAAAACTCCGTCTCAAACAAAAAAAAAGAAAGAAAGAAAAGAGAAAAAGAAATAAATGACTATGTCTAGAGAAAAAGGTCTAGTGGGCAAACTACAAATGGGTAAATCAGGCTAGTAGCAAACGTATTCAGGAACCACCGTGATAAAATGTGGCTGCTTATCTTTCCCGTTTGAACAGGAGGTCACAGTTTTGCTATACAGAGTTGAAAGGTTGTATAGACAGGATGTGTTCATTTGAGTTAGAATTTATCTGGGGCACCTGGACAGTTAATCCATCTCTGGGCTTCAGGAATCCGATACTACCCTAAGAACACTGTTGTAGAATGTATACAGCATTCTGGACATGGAAGCTGGCTTGCTCCATTGGTGGTGGGGCATGGAGAGGTTCCTGTCAGCCCAGCACATCCTCAGGAACTATACCAGTTTCCTTATTGCCCAAGCCGATATCTACAATGCAAAGCATCTTTCAACTGTAATTTAGGAGGACTATGAGCTGGCCACCTGAATTTTTGCTTGCAGTTCAGAACTATTGCTAAAAATGCATTTTATGGTGAAACAAGGGATTAGCTAATCTTTCAGGCTAACAGAGGGCCAGCTACAAATGTTTCCTGTGTGTATTGTAAAACTCTGAGATAACAGAGAAGTTGCTCATTGCCCTCTGAATTTCCCTTCCCCCAGGACATCCACTGGTCACACAAGCCATTATCTGAGGCAAGCTGACCAGAGCATGATGCTATAACTTTTTTTGGTTCATACTTCCAAATTAAATCTGGTTAGAAAAATAAATGACTAGAAAGTATTTAAATCTTGTCTTGAATCCTGGAGGAATTTGCTTATTTTTCTTCATCTGTTGGCTAGTCTTTTATAAAAAAAATATTTTTTTTTATTTTTTTTGAAATGGAGTTTCGCATTTGTTGCCCAGGTTGGAGTGCAATGGTGCGATCTCAGCTCAGCACAACCTCTGCCTCCCGGGTTCAAGTGATTCTCCTGCCTCAGCCTCCCGGTAGCTGGGACCACAGGTGCCCGCCACTACACCTAGCTAATTTTGTATTTTTAGTCTCAAACTCCTGACCTCAGATGATCTGCCCACCTTGTCCTCCCAAAGTGCTGGGATTACAGGCGTGAGCCATTGCACCCGGCCAGTCTTATTTTTTATTAACAACCTCATTCTCTGGATATTCTGGAGACAAAAGCAAAACACCCAAGAAAATGGGCATTTAGACAATAAGAACTCAGACCTCTGTGGTGTGATACAAATGTACTCACTAAGAGAGCACAGGCTGCCACCCTGAAGTTTCATACATATGGCCAAGACCAAGGGTCCACTTTGATGACTAAATGGTAATACTATTTTCTTTGAATCATAGTATATGCATTTAATATTCTCTTGGGCCTTACTTAAAAGAGTAATTTTTTTTTTTTTTTTTTTTTTTTAGGGTGAAGGCATGGGAATTTCCCAACCACATTGTTCCACTTCATAATTCATATCTTCTTCTTTCTCTTCTCATTTTATTTTCACTGCAGACCAGAGTGAAGACAAATATGTATTATTTGGTAGCTTATGAACAGCAAGGAAAAACTGACTGGCAACCACCATAGCAAGGCATGAAACCGTAACCACCAGGACCCTCACATTTACATGTTACTGACTAGCAAATGTCTAGGCCTAAAACATCTGCCCTCTTATAGCTATGTTTTATTATTATGTAAACATGGGTACAAGTTTTCTGACATAAAATAGTAGATGACTCAGTGTCTTCAAATGATTAATTGCTGGGTTTTTTTGCCTGACCTCTGTCTTCATTTCTTCTATAATAAATCTATTGTCATGCTTGGATTAGGGAAGACTGAAGCACCCAAACGCTGGGCCTGAAAATGCTCTCGCTCTCTCCAACAGCACGAGGGTGTTTCTCATTAGTTTCATAAGCGCCAAGAAAATTTCAAAATGATACCAAACAAGAATATTTTAAATTTTATCACATTACCAGCTAAGAAATCTGTAAGCACATTGTTAATTCACTTAGATTCATCACACAGCAAAGCAAATATGGCATTTCAAAACTGAGAAAATTAAAGCCTCCTATGAGAAGTCTATAGCCACTGTTTCTTGAGTCCTGTGTACGTATCTCATTTGTTAAGTCAGATTCCTCCCAGAGCACATCTCTCATCAAGGTTTCTGTTTATTTCCATTCTGGTTTGTGTTTTTGTGGAGGCATGTCTGTCCGTAGCCAAGACACAGAGGGCTGGGCTGGTTGTAACACAAATCAGAAATTTCTGCCTTGCAGCTGCCTGAAGAAGTAACAGTTAATTGAGCGTGGGAGCTGTGTGTAGACCCTCAAGACTAACAGTTAAGAGGCAAGTTTTCAGTAAAAATGTTTAGAAGCTGCATACCACACAGCTGGAAATAAAGGGCAGAGCTGTTTTCTGGGGAATTTGAATTATGTGTACATCCAATCGAGAACAATAAATGAATTTGTGTCCAGCAATAATAATCCCTCAGTTATAGATAGACTTACCGTTTATGCAGCACTTCCTATGAATTCTCTCTCACTGAACCTCATAACAGTTCTTTGCAAACAAGGCTGTTAATTGCAAGCCATTTTATTTTATTTTATTTTATTTTATTTATTTTGAGAAGGACTCTAGCTCTGTCGCCCAGGCTGGAGTGCAGTGGCGTAATCTTGGCTAACTGCAACCTCCGCCTCATGGGTTCAAGCAATTCTCCTGCTTCAGCCTCCAGCGTAGCTAGAATTACAGGCATGTGCCACCATGCTCAGCTAATTTTTGTATTTTTAGTAGAGATGGGGTTTCACCACGTTGGCCAGGCTGGTCTTGAACTTCTGACCTCAGGTGATCCACCCGCCTCGGCCTCCCAAAGTGCTAGGATTACAGGCATGAGCCTCCATGCCCAGTCATAATGTCATTTTGGAGATAAGAACTCCAAGGCTGCAGGAGATGAAATAGTTGGTTCCCTTTTGAACTAGATGTGAGTGGCAAGTTGGGGCTCACATTCAGGTTTTCTGAGGGTATGTTTTACTAAGCAGACTGCCTCTGTCCTCAAATCCAGGCATTTGATTAAGGAATTCACCCCCTTAACCGGCTTTCCATTTGTCAAAGTGAGAGTCCTATTAATCTAATATTGGACTTCTGTTAGTCCATTTCCATTGTACTGAAACACAAAAGACAAATTCCCATCATTAAGAAAGTTGTAACAAAGGGAATATTTATGTCTCTCTCCCACTCCTGCTTTGTATTCTCCTTTCATTTTTTTCATTGCTTTTGTAATTCAGATTGTATTAGAAATTAGAGGAAGGTTGAAACTAGGTATATGGTGACCAAGGTGTGGAAGATGGAATTCATCTTCTTTTCTCCAGGTTTCTTGAGTGGAAGTTCTGACAATAGGAACAGTTGTGTCACTGCATTCTATGCAGTGTCATTTTATTTTCCTGAAAACATTTGTCCTTGCTACAAGTAGATTAGAGGTTAGAATGCAGGATTGGCAAGCAGGATTTGTGGTTTCTATTATTAGCCCTGCCACAATTTTATTGCACAAGGGTGAGTCCTAAGCAGTGTGGTTTATTGGAGAGAGAACTTGATTGGAACTGGCTATCCTGTGAATGAGTGATACGAGCACCATAGATGAGCATCAGCCGAGAGGAAGAGTTCAGACTAGTGTGAGCCCCTCCATCACCAAATGCAAGTGTCGCTATGACTAATGTATGTGATTCACTACTCTGCAGGAGGATCTGCAGGGGGATCCCATCGGGCCTCTTTTCACAACTTCCTGCAATGGGAACAGAAGCCACTCTTTTAGAAGGATTCAGCAAAAGGAAGGAGAAGGACCTTGAGTTGTTGAGGTTGTTTTGCTTTGTTTTGTTTTGTTTTTGAGGTAGAGTATCACTCTGTCGTCCAGGCTGGAGTGCCATGGAGCAATCTTGGCTCACTGCAGCCTCTACCTCCCAGGTTCAATTGATTCTCATGCCTCAGCCACCCAAGTAGCTGGGATTATAGATGTGCGCCACCACGCCCGGCTAATTTTTGTATTTTTAGTAGAGATGAGGTTTCACTGTGTTGGTCAGGCTGGCCTCAAACTCCTGACCTCAAGTGATCTGCCCGCCACAGCCTCCCAAAGCGTTGAGATTACAGGCATGAGCCACCGCGCCCGGCCACCCTTGAGTATTTCATTCTGAATATGTTTCAGGGTCTGTGTACAGACCTACAGGTCTCCACTTAATGAGAATGAGAGAGAGAAACAGGGAGAGAAGTAGGTCAAAAGAACAGAACATTATTTGAAGAAGTAGGGATGGAGTGGGGTAATATGTTTTTGGATGATTACTGCTGTTTCCTTGACTTTAGATAACATGATTCAGACTGGGCCAAAGAGTTTAGAAAGCAAAGGGGAGAAAAAAATTATTGTGTACCCTCTAACTCCAAAAGAGACCTATAGTAGCCTTCTGATCTTAAAGGAATGAACTGAATCCAATATGTTCAAAAGACATTGGGTCAGCCTTGCACTGTTCCCAGATAACATAGACCCAAGACCTCTCAGTACTGTTCAGCATACCTGAAGACACCTATGCTCAGGTCTAATCCAATCTAGGACCTAACAGTACCTCAGCCTGGAGAGACAAATAACTTTGGCCCTGGATTCTGAGTCTCAGCATCTACGACTTTACTTTCCTAGCCCCAAGCCATCTTTATTAGATAATTGTGCTTTTGCCTTCTTCTCCATCAATGAAACCCTATGTAACCTAACCTAGTCCTTCTGGAAATACATGCGATAAACTTGAGTTAATTCATTTATTCCATCATTTATCCACTCAAGATATATGTATGCATGCTTATTATGTGCCAAACACTGTGCTATGCCTGTGGATAGAGTGGCAGCAACAAAAGCCAATAAGACAAAAATGCATGATCTTTGCCTGATGGGAGACAGGGCCAAAAAAATTTACACATATAGGGTATATAATTACAACTTGAGGGAAGTGCTGGGAAGGAAAGGGCAGGCTGCCATATGAGCATTAAAGCCCCAGGCAGGTGGTGGAGGACGTGACATCTGAAGATAAATACCCTGAATGCCAACCACCCGCCATCCTGGGCTTCTGGACGTGGCCCACCCTCAGTGTCCCCATTCCCTCCCACTCCTAAGAAGTTCCTCCTAGAACATCCGCTGGGCCACGTCCCTGGAAAATGCTGGCCCTGTCTTCATTACAGCCCGCCCCAGCTCCCTCAGACCATAGTGACCTCATCTGAACTCAATTATGAAATTCTGACACTTAGACTTTAGCAACTGGCCCTACCACAAGAAAAAGTTTTCATTCTTTTTTCAAGATAAATTTTAAAGCAAAACTAATCCCAAGTCGGTGGAACAGAACAGATCTGTCTGAGAACAAGGGGAGCACCCTGAGGCAGCACAGGGCTGGCGGCCTGGTGGCTTCCCCTCTCCTCTCTGCCTGCTGAGATGGAGTGTGGGGCAGGCGGAAAGCACTACTCTCCAGGTCAGGAGACCTGCACCCTGGCTTGTCCACTAAACTTGTCAGCTGTATCCATCTCTAGGGGTCCCTGAGGAGGTTTGATTTGCTTAGGTTTGAGGTGAGTGTGTCTGTTGCACACATTTACTGGTTCTTTTTAAAAGCTGAAAATTGAACAATTTGTTTTTTAGGCTGCATCAAAATGTCACTTCTCTGTCAAAATGACTACATCTCAATGCCATGTCCACTTTGTGTATGATTGGTGACAGCCCAGCACCCTATCACTCTAAGCCATCACTCTGGTTCTTGGGTAACAAGCTGGGTAACCCAATAGCAAAGGATCAGGGCTAAATATAGAAGGACATAGTTGTAGAAAGGGAGAGAGTCCTGAGATTTTGTGTTTAGCTGTGAATACATTTTTTCTTGATTTTTCTTGTTGGTATTAATGACATTCTATTCCATTGAAATTAATATTTAATGAACAATAATAATGGGCCAGGCACTTGGCTAGGATCTGGGAATAAAATGATAAATAAGATTTCCCAAGCCTCAAAGAGCTTAGAACCACCCAGAGAAAATACAATTAAGTATATAATTACAATAGGGTATCTTCAATCTCGAAGGTAGAATCCCTAAGGGGCCTCCATCCCAGATATGGGACATAGAGAAGAGCTTATCTTAGAAGAAGGGATCTCAGTTAAAGCTGCTGCTATCTACTTACTTTTTCTTTTTAATGGCAGTTGAATGGCATGAAGTTAATGGTTCATAATTTATTCAAACATTCTTCAGTTGTGAAAAATTTAGACTTTTGTGCTCAGGCTCTCTCGCTCTCTTTTTCTCACTGTTCTATTGTAAATAATACTGTCATTAGACAGCCCTAGCAGGTCATTTGTCACTCTAGTGGGCCTCATTGTTACCTATCAAATGAGTTAGGCTGATGTAGTTTAAGAGAACTCATTCATCTCTAAACCTCCATGAAATGCAACCTTACGTAGACGACTTCACTTTCCAGATTGTAAACAGGCAAAAATACACATCTGTGGACCACTTCTCTCTGACAGACAGCCTGTAATTTTTACCTATTTCTTCCTTCCAATAACAGTATATATGGAGACTGAATTAATTGCAGTTTTCATTTAAATAAAGCATACTTATAATAGTAAATCTTCACATGGTTTCATGAAACAAAATCATATAATGCATTCTAAGATCAAATATAAATTATTTGGAATTAGCTGCATTTTTAAAAGTATCTGTGCCATTGTTCCTTGAGTAGAAATGGTTTGGTTATTATCTGTGGTTTTTATTATGTATGTTTTTTCTCCACTGGGACATATAGTAATTGAAAGTTGAGTGCAGACTT